TATGTATGGGAGTCTGCTGCCGGTGGCTCGTTCACAGTGACACCTGACACGTCCGAGCCGATTCCACGTGGTACGCGTATTGTGTTGAAACTCAAGGAGGACATGCTTGAATACCTTGAGGAACGCAAGCTGAAAGACTTGGTTAAGAAGCACTCAGAGTTCATTGGCTTCCCAATCAAGCTTTACGTCGAGAAGACGGAAGAAAAAGAAGTGACGGACGACGAAGAGGAGGAGGATGAGAAGGAAGGTGATGACGACAAGCCTAAGGTCGAAGAGGTCGAAGAAGAAGAAGGCGAGAAGAAGAAAAAGACCAAAAAGATTAAAGAGGTGACGCATGAGTGGGACCATCTAAACAGCCAGAAGCCAATCTGGATGCGCAAGCCCGAAGACGTGACTCACGAGGAGTATGCTTCGTTTTACAAGTCGCTGACCAACGACTGGGAAGAACACGCAGCTGTTAAGCACTTTTCAGTTGAAGGACAGCTCGAGTTCAAGGCTTGTCTTTTCACTCCCAAGCGTGCGCCGTTTGACATGTTTGAAGGTGGCGCAAAGAAGAAACTTAACAACATCAAGTTGTACGTGCGTCGCGTGTTCATCATGGACAACTGCGAGGAGCTTATGCCGGAGTATCTGTCCTTCGTTAAGGGTGTCGTTGATTCGGAAGATTTGCCACTAAACATTTCGCGTGAAACTCTGCAACAAAACAAGATCTTGCGCGTGATCAAGAAGAATTTGGTAAAGAAGTGCCTGGAAATGTTTGCCGAGTTAGCTGAAGACAATGAGAAGTACAACAAATTCTACGAGGCGTTCAGCAAGAATCTCAAGCTAGGCATCCACGAGGATTCAACAAACCGTTCCAAGATTGCTAAATTGCTTCGCTACCACTCGACCAAATCTGGGGAGGAGTTGACGTCACTGGACGACTACATTTCCCGCATGCCAGAGAACCAGCCTGGTATCTACTATGTCACGGGCGAGAGCAAGAAAGCGGTTGAGAACTCTCCGTTCATTGAGAAGCTCAAAAAGAAAGGCTACGAGGTCTTGTTCATGGTTGAAGCCATTGATGAGTACGCTGTGCAGCAGCTAAAGGAGTACGAGGGCAAAAAGCTTATCTGCGCCACTAAGGAAGGTCTCAAGATGGAGGAGACTGAAGATGAGAAGAAGTCCTTCGAGGAAGCTAAAGCCGCCACGGAAGGCTTGTGCAAGCTAATGAAGGAAGTCCTCGACGACAAGGTCGAAAAGGTTGAGATCTCGAACCGTATTGTTGAGTCGCCTTGTGTGCTTGTAACTGGTGAGTATGGATGGTCAGCCAACATGGAGCGAATTATGAAGGCTCAAGCATTGCGTGACAGCAGCACCTCGTCGTACATGTCTTCCAAGAAGACGATGGAAATCAACCCGCTTCACCCAATTATTAAGTCGTTGCGCGAGAAGGCAGAAGTTGACAAGAGTGACAAGACTGTGAAGGACCTAATCTGGCTTCTGTATGACACATCTTTGCTCACTTCTGGCTTCAGCTTGGACGAGCCTACTACGTTCGCTAACCGCATCCACCGGCTAATTAAGTTAGGCCTCAGCATTGACGACGACGATGACGCCACGGACGAGGCAATGGAGGATTTGCCTCCACTTGAGGGCGAGGGCGAGGAAGAGAGCACGATGGAGGAGGTTGATTAAGTTGCACTGTAGTCAGTTGGTCGCTGCATATGAGACCCACTTGAGTTTAGCTAAATATATTTACAACTCGATTTGCTCTTTCTGATCAACCAAATTTTGTGCTATCCTGTTTAGAATGTTGTGCTCAATTTTCTCTGCAAACGCTGCATGAGAACGAATCCTGTGGTAATAATCATTTCAGCTTTGATCATCGTAAAAAAATTGAGGACAGAGTTCGTCAGGCAGAACAGACGAAAATGACTCCAACAATAAGCTACTCCGATCGCAAAATTCGGCAACGTTGTCGCCTTCCATATACTGTGACGATAAAACTGATGGCGTTCGATAGCTAACAAGTGTATCAATAGTTCGCGTAAGCCATCGAAGTCGGCCTCCCATTGCAGTATTTTCATCCTCATTGGGAACTAGAACACGCTGAGCCTCCTGTTTCAATATGTAACGTGCACGTTCGAGAGTCTCTAGCGTGATTGATTTAGTTTCCATTTCACTTTCTCGATTATCTGCAATCAAGGCATTTCGCTCGTTTGGAGGTGGAACCATGGCACAAATCGCATGTGCTGAAGCTTTAACTAGCATCAGGTTCTTCGCTGACGAGCACAAGTTACAAAGAATAACGTGGCCGTCGAGTTCCGTTGCGTGTTGACGATTAACCCTTGAGTGAACAATAATGGCGAAAGACTCGCAAAGTGCAATAAGTGCTGCATCATGGCTGCCTTCTACGTCATTTTCTGCCAAATTCAAGGTCGCCTGAAGTGCATATAGCAATACTTGAAGTCCATTTTGTGCGGCAACTCGAGCTTTGTTCGATGGGTTTTGATGACAAAGACAAGCGAGTGCAATGGATGCCCCCTCAATGACGGTTGGTATCTTTACAGCATCAACCAGCAATTGAAGAAGTAAAGTCGACGTATCGCTATTGCCAATAATGAGTTGGTTCGTTGACGTATAAGCCAAATTGGCAAGTCCAATTGCTCCAGCTCGAACAAGTTGTGAACTTCGTTGCAAATTTACAGCTGTGAGGCAAGTAGATAATGCTGTTGCCGTATCGGCCGCCATCAATATGCTTTGATTAACAGCATTGTTGTATGCCATATTCCCAAGAAGCTTAGCAGCTTCAATTTGCACGTTGACATCAGGACTTTGTTTTAGGTAATGCACTACAATTGACACAAAAGTTGGACTAGCCGCAATTTGAGCTCGTAGGTTTTCACAACCTAGAACGACACATTTACAAAACAGCGAAGGTGAAGTGACAGAACGTATTTACTATCGATAACAATACAATCCTACCATGAGATAAGTTGACAAGAGCGATCAGCATACTATGTTGTACGTTTGGATCCCAAGGAAAAGATAGTGTATCCAGCTTGACAGTAGATCTTTCTTCGTTGTCATTGTCACACATTTCTTGACTGCGTGAGAGAATGCATGGCACTAAGTGCTGGATTAGAAATCGCACGACATTTTTCGAGGCCAACGCGCGTTTGTTAGGAGCAAAAGTCGCTAAAGCCGCACACAAACGCGATGCTTCCACAAGGATTCGAGCATTTTGAGAGTGTTCAAGAATTTCGACCAGCGGTGCACCAACTCCAGCCTTCACAATTTGTTCGCGAACATCTATTTCACGACTCAAGGAAGTATGTTGACAAGACTGTGACTTGACACCGTAAATTGCAAGATGTACAAACGCAATGAGAACGGAGCCAATGACAACGTCTCCCATCTGCTCTTGCAATAAGTGCACAAGAAATGGAAGAATTCCTGCTTTAACAACGTATGGCGCTTGAGATGCTGGAAGAAGTGCCAGACTTTGAGCAAAATGAGCAAAAACACGCTTTTCTAAGCCGTTTCCAGGTGATTGAATTTTAGATGCAGATACTGCGAAGATATCTTGAGAAACAGTGACTGGCGAGAGAAATCGTTCATGCCACTTTTTCTGCGCTTCTTTGTCATTTTTTTCTCGATCAAGGTCTAACTGAAGATTTTGAACGATCGCCTTCCAATGCATTCGCTCCTCCTCCACAGCAGCTTGCTGAGTTAGAAGTTGACTTCGCTTTGTATTTTCCAACATCAAAGCAAGGTCATGAATGCGAGCCTGTAATCTATACAGAGTCAGTGGAGTTTATTGCTGTATTTAAATTTCTGACATACTTGTGGATCTGTGACTCAAGGTCGCAAATACGAGCAAGCGCTCGAGTTTCGTGATGATCTTTCTCTTTTTGAAGCTCCACTAGTTGCTGAGAGAGCTCCAATTCCTTTGGTGTTGGTACTAATGGGTATTCCTGAGTACATGTTAGTCATTTTCTAAGCCTCTAGAACATAGTTGAAAAGTAAAAGCAGTGGAGTACCGCTTCTTCTGGCTCGAGATAAGCTCTCCCCGGCATAACAATTGATTCTACTAGATTTCTTGAACGATAATAGTAGAGTACTCAAAATAAATCTATATCAGTTATTTATGAAAGTTTATTGATGTAGTAGCGGAAGAAGAGAAATTCTGTTTGAATCATCCGATGGAATCACATTTTCATCATTCTCTGATGTGAGTCGTTCTAGTAGTGGCCATGTCCTAAAAGAATGTTCGACCCCTTTTGCAATTTTTAATTTCATGCTAAATCGATCAAGTTCGTAAAGTTCATTCGTCGTTAAGACGAAAATTCTGGAGTGAGGAAGCTGCGCTTTTGTGTTTTAGAGGGAGAAATAACACGCACTTGGCTTTAGAGCTCTGCGTTCATCATACCTTCGATCTTCAGTCGAAATATTGGTCGACGTAGCTGTGGTGGTGCAAAGGGCGCAATTCAAGGCTTTCAAATACGTTTTGCTGACTCAATTTGGCTAATTTGAAAGCTGGCCAAGTACTTATGTTTATGCCTAACCTTTTAATATAATGTCTGTCAGTAACTACTTGAGTCCACTTTTGAGGGTCGTTCGCTGTTGTGCAGGTTTCCAGAGTTACGTTGTAAGGCTCCATTGATTGAAAACTCAAACAGCAATTATCGGAGATTTGGAGAATTTGCCCAGTCGAGTTGTCCAATGACATTTTAGACGGAAAATGGATACCAACAGGTTTTCGTATAGATAATGCTGGTTGGTATTCACAACTGTGTAAATACCAGAAAAGCTCATGGCACTAGTGAAACTTAAATTTGTTCGTAGCGTCCCCTCGTCGATAAAAATGCCATAGTAAGCATCAAGCTTATTACCTCCATGGGTAAGTCTTCATTTAAAAAAAAACTTGGTACCAGTAAAATTCCACATCAATCCTTCGAGTGAATTGATACAATTCTTCAAGGTACCTGGCTTGGTTTTTAGATTGAGCAATACCCGCATCAAATCCACCACCGCCTGAGCTCCAGTCAGTCTGCGTAAGGGAAATCATCTTCTTTGCCACCGCAAACCCACGTAAGGTGCGAATCTGGTCAAGCACTATTAAGGATGAAGTTACCCGTATGGATAATTTTTTTAATGATGCCGAAAATATTACGGAATTGTAACCATAACTCCCAAATAGTAAATTAGCAGAGATACTATTGCAGATTCAATGGCTATAATGAATTTATATCCTCGATCATTGGTTGTCCATGTTCACGGAACCGAAAAGTGCATTTACGATATAATCGTTCGTTCAGGTTATTATGTACCCTAGCAAGATATTGGGATTACACTACATTCCAGAACACAATTTGCTATGCTATGTAATGACACTTTTGCAAGTCTAAGTAAATCGTTGCTTTAATTTTATATGCTAATCTTAACAAATATATTTGTCAGATTGCTAGTCTAGTAGCCGGTTGTCCAATCCATTTGGTAAAGCATCGGGTTTCCTTCGAATCGAAGGTTAAGATTCTTCACAAATACATCAGCCACGTCTTCTGGAAACACAGTACCAGCGATATGTGGTGTTATAATCACTTTTGGGTGCGACCACAGTGGACTCGTCTCTGGCAATGGTTCCTTCTCGAATACATCTAGCACAGCCTTGGACAGCAGACCCTTCTCTAAAGCATTAATGATTGTTTCCTCCGAGATGATATCGCCTCGGCCGACGTTAATGAAAACCGGTTGCTTTTTTCGGCACACCTCTAGTGTATTTTCAGTCAGCAAGTAACGAGTTGCGTCTGTGCTAGGCAAGACGTTAACTACATAGTCACTTTGCTCCAGTACCTCATTTAAATTGGAAGACAAACCGTCAGCATACAGCGCTAATGCATTTCGATCTTCATCACTCACGTGACGCTTAAATCCAATCACTCGAAATCCGCATGTTTTTAGAGTGCGTCCAATCTCCTTTCCAATGTCACCAAAACCAAGGATGCCGATAGTCAATTGCCGAAATGGTCGATACTTGAGTTCCCATCGACCAAAGACGCGTTTTTCTTGAAGTTGTTTGGCTTCATAGAACTTGCGCTCGATCACTATCACGTAGCCAAACACATACTGTGCCAGTGCTGTTGGCATGATACCTCCTGCACGGGAGACAGTAAATTTCGGGCCACCTTCGACCATTGGAAACTGAAAGTATGAATCCACTCCAGCATACGTTCCTTGCACCCACTGCACCTTTCGAAGCAAATGCTGCATTTCAAAAGGCAAATTGGTTTCAGGTGCGAGCAGCAGCGGTGCACCAATGTGGGCATCCATGATAATAATCTCGGCGTCTTCGAGAATCTGCTGCTGTATGGAATTAAGCTTCCATACGGGCGTAGTAGGAATGGGCTGGCTGACAGATCCCTCAGGCTGATGATTATTGCAACTGTTGGGTGGAGATATTATTGGTAGCGGTAGGTCCACAATTTCAAGCTTGTTAGACTTGTATAACCTGGCAGCATAGGACGTGGCTGTTGGTGACGCTAACTGCTGGCGTACACTTTCACCAATGCCGGGGATGATAGAAACAACTGGAATAGAGAGCTTTTTATCTGACATTGCAATATATGGTAAATTTTAAAATAAGCGGTTGTCATTGTCTGCCTAGTCAAACAAGATGGAGGCTTCCCGATCGTACTTTAGAACGTTTCTGATCCACTCAGTGCAATTTTTGGCAATAAATTTGATGGATGAATGGTCTCGTATTGCAGTGAAGCCCCTTCTATCCTCTCCTCATCATTCCATAATCCAGCCAAGCATAAAAATTCACCTTTGTGATAAATTTAATGGACGAGAAAAAAAAAAAGCCCATGAATTCCACTTTAAAATTATTTGAGCATGGACATGTGCCGGTATTGAGACGCTTGTGCACTTTCTTGTGGAGTAGTTATTCTCTGTTTGACAAGTGCATTCACAGCAATGGTGACAATTGATTGCTATGTGAATATTATGCCATTTTGCTTGAATACATAAAAATAAGGCACGCCTTATTTTACGCTTATAATAATATGCAGAACAAAAATGACATTTAATTTTGGGAGAATGGAGATAATATACCTTTTTTAAAATTTAATGGAATTTTTTTAAATGGAAAAATCTATCTTGAATCACAATTTTTCCACTAAAAGGACAGAAATCTACCTTAGAAGTAAATAAAAGGTTTATTGCAAAAGGTGATACAAATACAAAATAACAAAATATTTGCGAGATGTGATACAATTGTGTTTTAAACACTAAAAATACGATACCTGATAAAATTACCGAGTGTAGCCATTCTTGGTCACCGTTTTATTGAAGGCGTGTGCCATGGAGATGGAGGAACTCAAGCAGAAAAAATGGACTGAT